CAGAGAGTGGTGAGTCATGAAGGGGTGGGGTGCAGAGAGAAGGAGCAGCAGAAAGTAAACAGGGTACTGCATGTTTGACAGGTTCTTCAGCATGCTGTCAGTGGCTGTTTCACGTAAAGCAAGAGTGGAATTTACTGGCAAATCAAACCGTCTTAGGCAGAACAACAAGTAACTTCAGCCTGTTAAAAGATGCCCCAAACCAGGTTCCCAGGTAAATCAATTCAAGCCTGGAGTAACTCCACTAAGGTCAGCATCATTACTCCAGATTATGCCACGGGGTTAATTTTCTTCCCTTAATATCTCTGCACTGGGTATAAAATGTATTTAGGTACTACTTCCCTTTTCTAAGGCATTGCATGACAGCTGCATAGCTTTGCACGACTCTCATGCCAACCCAAGTTATCTTCTCAAAACCCTCTAACGCAGGAAGGAGATTAAGCATTTATGACACAAAATGAAGTTAAACAGTTAAATAAGCGAAGGCAACAGATATCCAACTGTCCAATTGCTGTACAACATGCCAGTTAGCATACTGAAGTGAGGAAACCTCCATTATTAGGTAGACTTTGGAGTAACTTTATGTATACATGGTTTACAAACTCTCTCTGTGCTCTGCAGCCTAACAGAAAATTGTAACAAAGGAAAGGAAATAAACCACAAGGTATCCATATCCCCTGACAAAGCCATTCAAGACAGATCCAGAGGATTTAGCTTACTGAACAGGGCATACAACTCTGCTAAATGTACACCATTTGACACTACTCCCTAACAGTGGAAGAATCTCACAGCCCCGGCAGGTAAGTGTCACACACACAGGCACAACCTTGGTGCTGGGAGAGAGGAAAGCTTTTGTATTAGTGCATCACAAAGGGGAGGGGGAGAAATCCCAACTGCTGCTGTTGAGATATCGGGAATATGGAATTACATTCCTAAATACAATTCTGCAAGAAAGGCAAAATGCATCAGCTATTTCCCAGATTCTATTTCATGTTCACAGCAATGATTTTCACCTCATAGGAGCATCTAAGAAGCCCCTCGAGTGCACCATAATTCCTAGTATTTACAAACTAGATAGGAAAATTAATTTATACACTCATTAACAAATCATCTCTCCTAGGCTGAAAATGTAATTCTTCAAAGAAGCTATGAAAACAAAATTTGTGTACAAAAATATAAATATCTTTACAATCTGCAGGCCCTTCACATCCAACGGCTTAACAGTGAAGAGTATCTACAGGTTATTGAGTAAATGGTGGCAGAGGAGAATAAAAAATACATCTTGTGACTCAAATACTGCCCTATTTCCCTGGTAATGAACATATCTGGGGGGGGGGGGGT